GTTATTATGCATAATGTCCAAAGTAATGGAAACTATTGTCAATCGCCAACTGATGAACCATCTTCAGCGCCAGCAGCTCCTCACTCCCCACCAGTTTGGGTTCCGCAGAGGTCTCGGCACGGCAGACGCTCTAGAGGCGCTTCATAACGCCTGGGTGGGCATCGTTGGCCAAGGTGGCGCGGCACGAATTCTCGCAGTCGATATAGCCGGGGCCTTTGACCGGGTCTCCCACATGGGCCTCCTCTACAAGGTCCGGGAGCTCGGCATTACTGGCACTCTCTATAGCTGGCTATCGTCTTATCTTGACGGCCGTTCACTCCAGTGCTTAGTCGGCGGTCAGATTTCTTCTCTCTACCCAAACTCTGCAGGGGTGCCCAGAGGCAGTATATTGGGCCCTACGCTGTTTCTAATATACGTGAATGACGCTGCCGATGTTCTTGATGGCAATGCTCAGCTTGAGGCCTACGCGGACGATACGACACTATACAGTCTAGTATCCTCAGCTCAGTGCCCTCGGGACGCTGCACACACCTTGCAGGTATCCACAAACCGCCTGCATGAGTGGGGTTGCCGGTGGAAAGTGTCTTTCGAGCCCACCAAGTCACAGGCTATGACTGCTACCCTCCGACGCACTGACCTAGACCTGCCCCAAATCCTGTTTGGTGGTACCCCTGTACCGGAGGAAACCAGCATATCACTGCTTGGTGTTCGATTTGACTCCAAATTGTCCTTCGCTAGTCACCTCAGGACCGTGACCATCCGCGCCCAGCAGCGCCTCGGCTTTCTCCGACAAGCGGCCCACATTTTAACGCCAGCTGGCCGAACGACTGTCTACAAGGCATTCGTGAGGCCCCTGATGGAGTATACCCCGCTTGTGTGGATGGGCGCGCCAGCCAGCCACATCCAACGTCTGGATAATGTTCAACGCCGCGCACTGCGCATCATTGACCCTGGTGCAATTCTCCCCAGTTTGGCTGTCCGCCGGACTGTTGCTGCTCTCTCGTGCATGTACAAATTGCATTTCATCACTGGTCCTCCTCAGCTACTTGCTGTATTGCCACCGCATCGCGTTTCTCCAGCCAACCCCAGAACCAGGAACCAGCACAATAATGCCACTAGCTACGCCTATCAACTGTCAGACACGCTCCCTGTCTCAGCTCCATCCGTCGTGAAGCGGTCGTTCCCGTACTGCTGTATTGGCGCATGGAGCTCCCTTCCTCACAGGCTGCTGTCTCAGCGCCCACACAAAACATGTTTTCAGTCATTCAAGACAAAGGTCTACCGACACCTGAGAGACAGCAACTGGTACTGGGCAACAGATTCCCTGTAATTTTTCGAGCTCGTCGCTTGCCGGACCCGCTAATCCGCGTACCTGGCCTTGCTCAGAGTGCTCAGCTGTGTTTTGCATACATGCAAAAAACTTGTTATGATTCTTTTCTTTTCTCTGTTTATTCTTTTACCAGGCGTGGGCCATCCCCTGGATAATCAAAATGGGTGCCTTATTATTTTTCTGTTTTTTAGCTTGTTTTCTTTACACTTCCTTGTGCGAGTTTCGTATCAGATCTATTAAAAAAATTCATAAGTTTTGGTTGATGAAGTTTACATGTACATTGTACATCAGTCCAAACACTGATAATTTACAATCTCTTTTCATCTTGTTTTTAGTTTTCTAAACACCTACCGGTACTTTTACACATTCTACTTCCCCATAGCTAGATCTAGCTTTCCTTTACATTTCTGTTTCTTTTTCCTGGTGCGTGCTTGTGGCATTGAAGCCGAGACCTTTGGTCGGCACGCGGGTAGAGGCATGGGGTCGCTGTCAATATAGTCACAGCAGGATGTCCAGGTCGTCTCTCCAACTGCTCGACTTGTCGTCCAACTTCCGAATCAGGCCAAGCAATGTCCTGTTGAAGCGTTCAGCAGTTCCTTGGGACTGTGGGTGTCTGACGGCTCCTGTCTTCACTCGGACACCGAAGTACTTGAAGACAGACTCAACGAGCGCGTTCCGAAACTCAGACCCATTATCCATGTGGACAACATTCGGCGGGCCCCAGAGATTGCACAGTGCCGTGAACGCCTTGGCAACAGGGGAAACATCATGTCGAGCCAACGGGATAACTTCGGCCCACTTAGTGAACGAATCGACTGCCTGTAGCACACAATGGTAGCGGCCACTTCGCTATGCACCAAGTTAAAGTGTGTCTATGACCACCTCTGACCACGGGCTCCCTGCGATGCTTGCTTGCGTAGGCGGCATAGACGTCTCGCGGCGGCTGTTAGCTGCTTTGCACTGTACACACTGCTGAATGTGCCGCTGGCACTGGGCAGCCATATACGGAAAGTAGCAGCGGCTACGAACAACATCATACATGGTATTCCACGAACCATGACCTGTTCTCGTATGTAAAGCAGACAATAATCAGCGACTAGCTTCGGTGCCACGACTGAAAGTTCCACGACTCCATCGATAGGCAACTACACACTACGGCACAGCAGGCCATTCACGATCACAAGCTGTGAACCGACCTTCGTGAACAACTCGAGTAGTGGGCGGCCTCCTTCAATCTGCGAGCTCACCTCAGTGATCAGTGCATCGGTGTGCTGAGCGGCCGCAATGTCGTGTTGCTGAACTGGACAGCTAGTGGCAGACTTCGAATCTGTCACGAGCCGCACTTTTGTAGCACCCCAACGAACGGCGAGGTTGAGTCCTTTGACCGTTGCTTCCAGCTCGCTCACATTGATATGTCGTGTGTCTCCGGCTGGTTGAAGCCATGATCGGTCTTCAATGACGTGTCCGTCCACTTCAACCACCACGTCTGTCCACTTCAACCACGCTAGCACAGTAGTCCATCAGCATCAGTACATCAGCATAGAACGGCTAAGATGGTAGCCTATCCTCGATGTAACTGCAGGCGAGGTGAAGCCAACTACAAACTGGCAGATGGCCTGTTAGCCTACCGCACCATTTGAATATTGCAGGCTTCGTCAAGACCTCCGGTACACGGAGGTCGCTGCCATCTCGGAGTCGCCAGGTCATCTCGCTGCCGGCGTCGCGCAGCTGCAAACCAAATCCTCTCGACTCTTCCAGCGGCTCAGCGGGCTTCGTGGGCAGGCTTTACTCAAGCATCGTCTTGGCACCGGCGTCAGCGCAATTTGACGGGGTCAGCATATCATCGATGTAGCTGTCAACTTTTCGGGTAACCGCGCGTTGCATAATGGGCGATGATGCCCATGTACTTCGGTGCAATACTGAGCCCAAAGCCCATTCGTGTCATCACGTATGGCTTTCCGTTCCAAAGGACAGTCTAGTACTTCAGAAACTACTTAGCGACGTGGACTTGGAGATACACTTTCTTGATGTCCAAGAGCTTGAAATCTGCCGGGCAACCAGCCTTTCTCCATTTACGCAGAGACTCCTCCCAGGCAGGTGCATCATCACCAGGGTCCGATTGGAGCCGGGCATTGAGGGAGAGGTAGTCGAGCACTGGTCAAACGACTGTCGTTACCTTGTGCTCTTGCACCTCGGGAAGGAGCGGTAACACTGCTGCTGGCTCACCATGCACCATCGGATCGTGTGGAATCAGCCACTCATTCTCGATCCACTTCTCCACTTCAGCACAAAACAGGGCATCTTGCTCTGGAGTGAGCTTCTCTCGCGAGTAAGCTGCCATGCCGGATCCAAGCATAGCCGCTGGGGCAACACCATATTTTCACTGCCAGGAAAGCTCCCACTCCCTTTTCTCCGCTTTCCAGCGCACTTCGCCATCCTGCGACTGGAGAATTACGTCATGCCCATCATGCTTCACGCTGACATGACGCGACGGGTGCGCATCGCTAACAGACGCGACAACATCAGGCTTGGCGGGTCCAAGCCGGATTCCATTGGTCCCGGGTTTCGGCACCATAAGCTGTAAGGGAATTACTGGCTGCGCCCAAGTCTATCCTCTACCATGGCACACTAACCAGAAGAAAACAAGTCTTTAATGGACAACAAGTGCACTTGAGACGATAAAACTTGATATGAAGGAAGGTAAGGTACAGCATGGCAACTGGTCAAGTGGAATTTATTGTGCAAGGAAGGGTTCATGCATTATTGGTCCTCCTTGTCGCTGCTCCTGGCGCTGGTGACAAATATTTTTTTCGCAAGCTCATCTCTCTTCCTCTCCGCTGCCTGGCTATTTTCTAAAGGGAAGTCGACCGTGACGATCGCCTTTTCTATAGGACTTCGCGTGGGCAGCGCGACTGCCTGTGTGGTTCAAATCAGTCGCCGTTCTTTGCAAGATTTATTTTGACTGACAATGACTCGTACAGTACTTGCAAATCTCCACGATTCGCTGGATACTCCGAGCGTTGCACTGGTGGCGAGGGAACTGCGATGTCAGCTTGGCGAGCGATCCCTGAGGTGAGCGATCCGTTTTGCAAATGGAACTGATTCCGAGTAGCCGATTACTTTCTTGTGCGACTCGCTGCTCTTGCCTGCCCAGTGTGACAAGATAATCTATATTGATGCGGCGCTGTACCAATCAGAATCACGAACGTGTCGCTCTCGAAATCTGGTTAGACCTTTCAGATACTAGTAAACTAACCTACTAATCAAAATTGGGATGAAATGGGCTGCCAAGTGAGCATTGGCGACATAATAACAAAGCTGAAAGATAAGCGACAATATTGCTGACGCGGACCAAGTATAATCGTTTCAGCCCTAATATAAATATAAGTTTCCGTGCATGGCACGGTAAGTGAAGTTAGCAACCCACCAACAATTACATTCCTAACATAATTTGCACGTACTTGCCATAGCGCATCACGTGCCCGTGCAGAACACGCACTCCGAACTCCCGCGCCCCGGCACGGGACCACGCGGAGCATGCGCATTACTCCGGCTCTCGATGCTGTTTCTTCTTCATCCTTGCTGCGCCAACAGTCAGATCGCTTGACAACCTTGGCCAGTTTTTGAGTTTTTGTTTGAGCTTGAGCATTTTTGAGCATTGAGGACTTTCCATTTCCGAGCAACCATGTCTGAATCTCTGTCAATGAACGACGCCAAGAAAATGCGCTCTGTAGAGCTGCGACAAGAACTGGCGGCCCGCAATCTAGGCACGACGGGGACCAAACCCAGGCTGCTGACTCGCCTGCTCGAGTCATTGGAGTTCACTGCAGCACGCGAGGACTTGGCCACTCAGGCAGCCGAGCAGAACCTACCCCAGGCAACTGCTGCTCCGTCCCTGAGGGACATTATCCGGGAGGAGGTCCGTGCTGCCCTTGGAAATCAGGCCGCAGCTCCAGCCCCGCCGGCAGCTCACACAGCGGCACCCCCACCGCCAGCTCACGCAGCGGCACTCCCACGGCAAGCACCAGCAACTCCGCAGGACGCTCTGCCTGCTCCGCATTTGGCGGCTGCCGTCTCACCGCCAATGAACCCCGCAGGTAAGAGAACGTTTTATGCAACCGTGCCGAAAGCCATTCACGATAAAGTGGTAACTGGCCAATTTGTTGAATTGGGCTCATTGTTGCCTAACCCGTCCCAAGGGGACACTAGCCGCAGCATTCTCCAGATCGACCACGACAGCTCGCACGGCGCAGTGGTCCTAGCACCGGCCAACAGGGCCTCCAGGAAGGTCGAGGACATCGACACCTGGCTCGACGCCTGGACAACATACTGCGCGATTTACGCCACAGCACACCCCCCCCCCAGGGCCCCAGAGCTGTTTGCGTACCAGCAGATTATCCTGAAAGTAGCCCGGAAATTTCGATTTGAGGCCGTGCAGGAGTATGACCGATCATTCCGCTCACTCCTGGCCGCGGACCCAACCATGCGGTGGGACGCAATAGTCCAGGACCTATACACAATTATATTTGACGCGCGGGCATTTCGTCCCTTTCGGCCCACCGGCAGCAACGACGCTCGTTCCTTTCGGCCCAACAGCAGCAACGACGCTCGTTCCCTTCGGCCCAGCAGCGGCAACGCCACGGTCGACAAAGAAGTATGCCGCCTCTTCAAACAAGGAAACTGCGTCCGCTCCAACTGCCGCTTCGCCCACAGCTGCCTCTCTTGCGGCCGCCTCGGTCATGGCCAATCCACATGCTCTGCTGGCCAACCCCGCAGCTCCAATTAGCTCACACGCGCCTTGGTCCCCTGTAAATATTCCCCTGCTGTTCGAAGAGCTATCCCAGCACCCCGATAACGATTTTGTGCATTCTCTCTGTCGCGACATGCGCGTCGGGGCCCGCATTGGCTATCACGGTAATAGATCCCGCCTCATCGCCCCTAATCTCCCTTCCGCATTGCTCAACCCTGCCGCCGTCTCTGCTTACCTTCAGTCTGAATGCACGCGTGGCCACATGGCCGGGCCTTATTCCCAACCCCCATTCCCTAATATCCGATGTTCTGGCGTTGGCATCGTGCCCAAGAAGTCTGGCGGCGTACGCCTCATCATGCATTTATCTGCCCCTAGCGGCTCTAGCATTAACAATGGCATTTACCCTGACGAATTCTCCCTGCATTACGTTACGGTAGATGACGCAATACGCTGCATCTTCCAGCACGGCCCCGGAGCTCTCCTCTCTAAGGTTGACATGAAGCACGCCTTCCGGCTCTGCCCTGTTTCCCCTGACGACTGGCCCCTACTTGGCATTTTTTGGGAAGGTTCGTACTATGTCGATAAGGTACTACCATTTGGCCTCAGATCCTCCCCGTTTCTGTTCAACAGACTTGCCGACGCTGTGGCATGGATTGCAGTTAATAATTACGATATTGTTGATTTGCTGCATTACCTAGATGATTTCTTCCACGTCCAGCCGCCCAACTCCGCAGCTATGCTCAAATTCAAGACACTGCTGGCTGTATTTGACATGCTGAACATCCCATTGGCCGACGGAGAGGACAAAGTGTGCCAGCCGTCAACTTCAATAACGTTCCTGGGTATCGAGCTCGATACAGCCGCCTGGGAGCTGCGCCTCCCGGCTGCGAAACTGGCGGAACTACGGCTAGCACTTGCCGCGTGGCTGTCGAAGCAGATGTGCACCAAGAGGGAACTGCTGTCCCTGGCCGGTAGCCTGTCTTCCGCAGCCAAAGTCATTCCAGCGGGTCGCACGTTCTGCAGACGCCTGTTCGACAGCGCAGCAACGCTCCCTAGCCTAGATGCACCGGTAGCCGTACCCGCGGAGGCGAAGCTTGACATCCTGTGGTGGGACGCCTGCATCAGCCAATGGAATGGTCGGAAGCCCCTCATCGAGCCGTCCTGGAGCACAGCCGAAGACATCGGGCTGTACACCGACGCTTCAGGTCGACATGGTTTCGGTCTGGTTTTCGGCAGCAAGTGGTCCTATGGCGCATGGTCTCCTGACCAAGCTGAGCACACTATTGAATGGAAAGAATTGTACGCCGTGATGTTGGCCCTCTGTACCTGGGCACACACGTTGGAGGACAGAAGAGTGCTACTCTACACTGACAACGAAGCAATCTGCTACATCAGGCGCTCTGGCACGTCCCCAAATAGAGCGGTCATGGACTTGGTCAGGGCCCTTATTGAAAGCCGCCCAGCATAACATTGTCCTCCTGCTTCGCCACATCGCCGGACACTGCAATGATCTTGCTGATTCTCTCTCCCGTCTGCAGGTACGGCGCTTCCGGACCCTCAACCCAACTGCCGACGCAGCGCCTACACCACCAGCGCAGTCCACCCTCCATCAGTTGATGACGCAGCCATGGAGCTCATCCGTCACGGCCTGGCAGACAGCTCCAGCGCGACGTACGCTTCAGTGCAGCGTTCCTACGAACGCTTTGCTGCCCTACGGCAGGTCGCGCCGTACCCGGTGACGGAGCCCAGCCTGATTAACTTTCTGAATTGGAAATTCTCGTCCGGCTCGTCTGGCTCGTCTCTGAAACTCTACACCCAGGCGCTGAGACATCAGCACGTCCTGCAGGGCCTCTGCCTGGACGTTTTCGCCTCACCGCGTGTCCGGCTGCTCCAACAGGGGGCGCTCAGATCCCAGACGGCAGTCCGGAAAGTGCTAACGGCCGCAACTTTGGACGATCTGGCTGGCGTACAGCACTACCTGCAGTCCACCGTGCCTAGCCCGCACAACCGTGCCATGCTCTGGAGCGCCGTGACTCTGGCCTTCCACGGGCTGCTCAGAGTCAACGAGTACACCTTCACGGCACGGGGCGCCGGCCTTGAGTACAGCAATGCGACCATGTACCCAGACCGCGTGGAGCTGCGCCTGCGTGTGACAAAGACGAGCCAATACGGCAGCGGCCAGGACATCAGCGTCAGGAGGACAGGCTCACCGACATGCCCGCACACGGCAGCCACCAGCTACCTAGCAGCCCGTGGCTCGGCACCTGGCCCGCTCTATCGCTATGATGACGGCACGCCCCTGAAGCCGCATAACATCAACAGGCTACTACAAACAGCCTTGCCTAACAAAGACGTGCGCAGCCACAGCCTCAGACGAGGCGCTGCAACGCTGGCAGGCAAATCTGGCGTGACTGAGCACGTGCTGAAGACCACCGGCAGGTGGCAAAGCTCTGCCTACCTCCGCTATGTCCGCACCCCTGTCGCAGACAGAGCATTGCCAGCAGCATTGTTCTAGTCTCTGCCCGTTATGCTAATGGGTAGCCGCATTGGACGGCCCTAGCAACAGCTGTAGTGTACATATGATATACCTATTATACTATAACTATAGTAACGCTACTATAACTATAGTAATGCCGATAATTCCTGTTTGGGTCATGTTGTATTTTGGGAGAACGGTAGGGATCGTGGGTCAGGCCGGCATTGAGCCAAGTGCGCCTACATGTGCTCACAAGTGCATCCCTACCGTATGCGTGTATTGACACGCCGGGCAATTGTGGCCCCCTTTAGCCCTGGCATTGGCCAGTCTAAAGCACATTGGTGCTTGGGATACTACGGCATTGGTCCATAGTATTGCATACTGCATGCGGCAATTGTTGCCTGCGATACTACGGCATTGGTCCATAGTATTGCATACTGCATGCGGCAATTGCTGCCTATGCCCTGATAATACAACGCGTAATAGCTCCCAAACAGGTCGGCTTGTGTGGTTGTTAAATATAAGTTTCCGTGCATGGCACGGTAAGTGAAGTTAGCAACCCACCAACAATTACATTCCTAACATAATTTGCACGTACTTGCCATAGCGCATCACGTGCCCGTGCAGAACACGCACTCCGAACTCCCGCGCCCCGGCACGGGACCACGCGGAGCATGCGCATTACTCCGGCTCTCGATGCTGTTTCTTCTTCATCCTTGCCGCGCCAACAGTCAGATCGCTTGACAACCTTGGCCAGTTTTTGAGCACCACCACCCACCCCATTATCTCCAACCATCATTCTATTCTAAGCCATCCCGGAACGGAGAACGGTAGGGATCGTGGGTCAGGCCGGCATTGAGCCAAGTGCGCCTACATGTGCTCACAAGTGCATCCCTACCGTATGCGTGTATTGACACGCCGGGCAATTGTTGCCCCCATTAGCCCTGGCATTGGCCAGTCTAACGCACATTGGTGCTTGCGATACTACGGCATTGGTCCATAGTATTGCATACTGCATTCGGCAATTGTTGCCTGCGATACTACGGCATTGGTCCATAGTTTTGCATACTGCATGCGGCAATTGCTGCCTATGCCCTGATAATCCAACGCGTAATAGCTCCCAAACAGGTCGGCTTGTGTGGTTGTTAATTATACATGTACACATAAACATGCACATACACCCCCACCCCCCCCCCCCCACCCCCCACCCCGCAACACACACATACACACACATGTACACGCATACACACAATGTACCATGTATACGCCCGTCAAAAAAAGCACGCAAATCTGCGAAATGTACTGGAGGTGCACCGACAGATTTTCTCTTATAGCGGACAAGATCTGAATGAGACAGATCAAGACTAGTGCCAGATAAGTGCCTAATCCATACAACCTGTGAAGCTATGAGAATAGACCGCCAATGCACACGTGGTCTGCACAACACGAAGTACATCAGCATTGAACGGCTAAGACGATAGCCTATCCTTGCTGTATGCGCACACACACTCTTTCACGCACGCATGCACCCCCCACACACAAACACACATACACCAGGAAATATAATAATTATGTTGGACTCAGTATAGCGTCCAGCCCTTATATGATGTCCAACCCCTATATAGAGTCCATTGGTCCAAAATCCACTGTACAGAGTCCAAACTTGGAAAACCCGAGCTTGTACGACTCCCTGATGAACAGATCAGGGACATCGTTGGCCGAAATATAGAAAAACTGAAAGGGGAAAACCGCGTACCTGTTGTCTGTAAAAAAATTGAATAAACATTACCGGAAAATGCGGTAAAAAAAGTTCAACATGGTATGCACACATATAGTCATGTACATACATGGGAAAAAATAAAAACTCCCCCGCCCGCACCAATTTCACATGTGTCCTGCCCGGGAATCTCGATTTTATTTTGGTCTCGCCTTAGTCTTGAGGCTCCACTGCAGCCACTTCATCACATGAAAAACCCTACAAACACCATCCTCAAATCAAGTGGTCTCTTCGCAGACGCTGCAAATTACAGCATCTCAATCATGTAGTGTTCTCAAATCATTATACACGCACACACACATATACACACCCACACAACGCCACGAAAATACCAAGAATCGAAAGAGAATGGGCTATGATGGAGAGCCAAGGATTAAGTTATTGTTTTCAAACACACCTTGACCTGACCTTTGACGCCCATCGCCGGAGGCGATGATAGCAATGCTACGGCAGAAGCCATAGCAACTTGTGCTGGGATTGCACCATTCAACAGCTTGCAAGGCTGAAGAATTGACCATCACTGTTCAGCCTGGTCTACACCATACAGCTATTTGGAGTGACATTTTCTGGCCAGTGAATCCCTATTTTTGGTCTTTTCATTTTTTTCCCGCACACACATCACACACATACTCCGGCATGCACTGGCTGTTGGTAACCACCCAGGAGAATGAAAGAAAAGTCAGGAGGAGTCTGAGAAAGAGAAGAAAGACGCGTGTGACCATAATCGTCGGGAATCGAACCCGCAACCTATCGATTGGAAATCGCTGCACATACCACTGCACCATATGGGACACACACTGCAAACACACCCGCACACACACACACACACACACACACACACACACACACACACACACACACACACACACACACACACACACATACATACACACACAAACTTATACAACGCCAAGAAAACCGTGACCAAGAAAAGAGTAGAGACACAATACACACGCAACTCCAACTGCCATGCAAACGTCACCCATTTACACGTAAAGTAAAGAGGGATAATAAATAATTATACGAAACGAATGCATACATGGACGGGTGCACGCACGTTTACATAAATATATTAGTATAAGAGAGTAACATAGTGCAGTAGTCAGCATAATACTAGCACATGCTGAGAGTGCAATAGCAAGCTTCACCATTGCTCATGGCCATGCAAATGTTCAGCAGCACTCAGTCCCGCAAGCTTCTGAAGATCAGCACACCTGCAACAAATAGATAGCACAAGGATACGCTTATTACCGTAATGATGCATGCAAGCACACAACTACCAAGTTCTCAACGAATGTGATGCTCAATGAAAATCCATCCGCTCAAAGACCTGTGAACAGGTGACGGTAGGGACAATAATCTCTTAGTAATACGAGGAATAAGATCGTTTGTGTACACTCAAGACGCACAGACACATCAACATACATGTGCTCCAGCGTTACCGGCAGTCAAACAGTTTTCCCAAGATGGAAATGCAATGATTTGTCGTCACGAGGCAATTTCACTGACAAATTTCATGTTTGTGACATCAAAACGGTTATTTCATGGAATACGAGTATTATCTTGAGAAAAATTTTTTTGTCATCGGCATACAAGCAATCCTCCTCCTACTACTACTAGTACACTGGAACTGCGTTTGTGGATCCCATTGTGTTTGACATCATACGAGGAAGAGTGTCGTGGAGTTCACATAATTATCACAGGACAAAATACTTAAATAACCGACGAGGAGACAACAGTCGTAAAATAGCAATGAAAAATATCAATTGTGCACTCATAATCATGTATAAACAATTAAAATGAAACAATTCCAGAACGTAAAAAAAAGAAATGAAAATGGAGGAAAAACGAATCTGAGGAGAAGCCAGAGACTAGCGGAGACACGACTGAGAAAAATGGAGAAGGCGGAACCAGTAGTGGCAGGTGAAAGTACGGGCGCAGCAGTGAACACGTCAAGGAGAAAGAAGCGATGGCATGAGGAGATGGAGATGGAGGATGATGATGGGGATGAACAGGATGGTCAGGAGGAAAGTAAGGGTGAGCAGGAACGGGAAGTGGAGGATGAGAGTGATACGGACGAGGAGGAGTTCGACATCGACAAGAGCAAGTCTGCCATCTACAAGCATTTGGTGTCCAGTCCGGATTGTCGTAAGTTGTTTGACGATTCCTGGTTTAGTGTTATTTGTCGCGCGCGTTTCTTTAAGCAGTTGCAGGTGTTGGAAGCTGTATATATTCGCACACGTGACCCTGTTCTATGCAAGCAAAAAGAAAATGTTGTAGCACTCACACTTTTTAAATAATACGCACTCACCAGTTTTTGTTCACACGCACTCACAGCTGCCACATTCATCTACTGCTACCATTCTCAGATACACTGCAAAGGTTCACACTACACGCGTTATGCATAACCGCTAGCTGTGCTGCATTCTCACGCTTCTTTTCATGTTACTCTAGCTATATAACTGGTTGTTTTAGTGATTCTTACTATGTGACGATGTTCCACTGATGATGGTCACACGAAAACGTTCTGGAATTGTTTCATTTTAATTGTTTATACATGATTATGAGTGCACAATTGATATTTTTCATTGCTATTTTACGACAAAATACTTTCTCATGAAATAAAATTGATGATAGCTAGACGATTGATGCAAAGTCCTTGCAGTCCTTGAGGACTGATAGTATTGTCACGCAACTATTACGAAGTCGTTGATTACTTTTAGGACATTCATTCAAGCAACATCAACGTGATACGCTCCTTGAAAATGGAAAAAAATGTCAAGCATAACGACAGAACAGCAGACCAATCGAAACGTGTAAAAGCTTCCTTACCTCAGTCATTGTCATACCATGTAGTTGGACAGCCTTTTGACACGGTGGTGCGGGCAGCTCTTGTCCAGTCAAACAGGGTATCCTTGTGGAGTCGAACGAAAGAGAGTGTCAGTTTATCTGACTCGTCAGATTGGAACTGTGCTGAACTTTTCTCGCTCTCCGAGGGGCCGCTTTCTGCTTTCATCCCGCGGACTGATGAAACCGTTCAAATGTCTTACTGTCAGCAACTGCACAGCAGAACTGGCAGCCATGGCCAGTCAAACAGGGGATCCTTGCGGCGTCGAACGAAAGAGAGTGTCAGTGTACCTGACTAGTCAGATTTGAACTGTGCTGAATTATCTCGTTCTCCAATTTCTGCTTTCATCCCGCACACTGATGAAACGTCTTCAGAGAACTACAAGACGCTTTCCAGATTTGATTTTGAACGTCTCCTTGAACTGTGCTGAATTTTCTCGTTCTCCAATTTCTGCTTTCATCCCGCACACTGATGAAACGTCTTCAGAGAACTACAAGACGCTTTCCAGATTTGATTTTGAACGTCTCCTTTTCCTCCTTGGTTATCTCGAGACATATTCCTGTCAGCAACTGTACAGCAGAACTGGCCGCCATGGCTGAAGTGAAGAGAGGAATGCGCCACCACGAGGCAAGCAAAACTGAAAAGGTGTTTGCTCTCTTTTTTACTACACACAGGATCTAGGATGGTGTGACTGGATAAACTGGACTCGTGGACCGTGAATAGGGGACTTGCAGAAAAGGTGTACTCCTTATAGGGGATTGCGCGGCTGGATGGAGCTGATCAAAATTGAGTGGACTCCTGGACGCTGTATAGTCGATTTTGGACCAATGGACTCTATATAGGGCGCTGGACATCATATAGTGCATGGACTTTATACTTAGTCCAACATATATTTACGCCACTTCAGTATGTAGGGAGGGCCATTGTATGGACCCAAGAGTGGATGGTGTGCCATGGTCTGCTCTACTGGCAGATGGTGGAATCCGTAAGGTTAACCCTTTATTGGCCGATTAAAATATAAACAAGCCCACGCAATCGCCAAACCTGTAACTAAATTGGACGTAACTTTAGTTTGCACTGGACAAATTCCACGATCTTGGGCATCCTGGAAAGGCCTTGACGAGAGGAGCGCAATGAGCCTACACTCGACTCCACGGGATGCACTGGCCCAGCGCTGCAAGCCAGGGAAGGCCCACCAGCGCTGGGCTCACGCTCGAGATCTATCTCTATCCACCATTTCACTCCTGTTGCTCGTATCAACCTCAAAATTTTCGTAGAGACTCCCGGGAACCTGCTTTTGAAGTTGAATCAGTGTAGCCTTGTCAACAGGTGACGCAAGCAGGGAAAATCCCGGCCGTAGACCAGCGCATCGCGCTCTGAGCACAAATTTCCCGGGACCAATATTACGAGTGCTATAACTCACGGACCGCTCTTTGTATCCCTTTGGAAATTGTTCGAGGCGACAGCTGAGAGTTTTCTCTTCGACCTACATATTTCGATCTCTCCGAAAGACCGAGATTTGACCAAGTTACGATAATTTCAGAATGCCTACCCCATCGAACATCGGTGTTCGATCAATGTATGGGCCAGCCAATAAAGGGTTAAGTTCTGTTGCTCTGGCCTGGCGCGAGTGACTAGATGCTACTTGTTGCGATCGAATATATTGCTCAAAACGTGTTCTGGAAAAATTCGTTTAAAAGGAGAATCAAGGATAGAGATTGCTTAACTTACGTTGTTCTTTGCAGAGATCGTGTCGGGTTGGAGATCTAGTAGATACTTGACTACTTCCAGATGTCCATTCCAGGCAGCGTAATGAACAGGAAGATCACCGGTCTGTGTACAGATAACACACATGACCAGACATTCCTATGCGTTATCCATCAGGAAAGTACTTATATTGAGTATAATGCACAATACATTCTGATAAGTCAATTGACAAACTGTTTACAAGCTAAAGCTGGAAAATCCCAATATATGCTTTAGTGCTGGGTACGAGATTGGTTAGTTTGCATTCTTTTTGAGGCAAAGTAATGTTGCAATATTCCTCTTGTGGGTTGAGGGGCATATGATGGGCGCAAGTATACAATACTAAGAACTCTTTTGAATCATTTTATGGACATCTCTGCACACCAAAACATTCCTGTTCACGGGTGTTGAATTGATGATGAGTGTGTCCGTGAGGTCACATCAGAAATGATTGAGACCAAGGTTTATGTGAACCGGATGCATAATGGAGGTGCTTTGTGCAGCTATCAGTGCTGGGCAGCAGAGTCACCAATATTCACAGGTACCTTTGCAGCAAATAATCGGTTTGGTAGCTGTTTCAGCCTGATACTCCCCAGCAATTGACATATAGCTAGCACAGTAGTCCTCATTGGCAAGAAGAGTGCTGTATGAGCATTTCTGCTGCAAAGTTAATCCACCGTCAACGTCTTCGAGCTAAACTGCAAGCAGGTTGTGCAAACGATATTAAAAGAGTGGTGGACAACTCTGAAGCAAGCCAGTGGCCATGGACGCAACTCTTGCATACCTACTACCTACTATCATCGATTGTGATGGCAATGAACACTCTACCAATAGTAGCAAAGCTGAGGCTTTCGGGAAGTATTTTGCTGGGAAATGCTCTCTTGTGGATGATTTCGAGGATGAGCCTCTCCCACATGTACAGCCTAAGTCTACCGCCCACTTGCACCAAGTGCATTTCAGGGAACCAGCTGTAGCCCGAGCCCTCCGTCAGCTTGACACCTCCAAAGCAACAGGACCTGACAACATCCCAGCTTGTGTCCTCAAGACGTGTGCAAACGAGCTTGCTGCCCCCCCCCCCCCCCTAGCACGCCTCTTTGCCACGTGTTTCTTCATTGGAAGACAACCGGCAGACTGGAAAGAGGCCAGAATAGTCCCAGTTCACAAGAAGAATTCCCGCTCACCCATCAGTCACTACCGACCAGTGTCCCTACTCAACATTATCTCGAAGGTAATGGAAGGCATTGTGAACCTCGCAATCATGAACTTTCTAGATCGCCATCATGTTCTGTCGGCAAAGCAATATGGATTCCGCCAACGCCTTGGAACTGCAGATGTCCTGACGCTCCTACATCCTCAATGGAGTAGAGCTGCCGGTTCGGGAGGCTCAGCCCATGTTCTTGCAGTAGACATAGCTGGAGCATTTGATAAGGTGTCCCACAAAGGTGTGATTCACAAGGCTGCTGTCTATGGGCTCAGGGGCCCCTTTTTAACCTGGTTGACCGACTATCTATTAGCTCGGCATCTCCGTGCAGTCCTATCTGGCCATGAGTCTAATGTTTTTCCCATTACCGCTGGTGTTCTTCAAGGAAGTATATTGGGGCCTACCCTGTTCTTGTTTTACGTGAATGACAGATCTCGCTGTCTATGCGGACGATACCACGCTGTATCAGTGTCTCGCAGTGGGCGCAGACGTGAATGAACAAAGCCGTGTTTTGCAGCATGCAGTGGATGACCTCTCCGCCTGGGTCAAAGCCTGGAAGATCTCTTTTGAGCCCACCAAATCCCAGGCCCTCACCATCGATCGCCATCGGCCACGGCGGCAGCTCCCAGCCATCTCCTTCGATGGAGTACCAGCTGTGGAGGAAGCAGAGCTCAAGCTCCTAGGAGTCCAGTTCGACACACAGTTGTCTTTCCACCAGCATTTGCCCTCTGTAGCCGTACGTGCACGCCAGCGGTTACACTTCCTGAACAGAGCTGCCCCCATCCTTGATGTTCGTGGACGAGAGCGGGTCTACAAAGGCTTCGTCAGACCAGTAATGGAATACTGCCCGTTGGTCTGGATGGGGGCTGCCACTACAACCCTTCGCCAGCTCGATGCAGTACAGTTACGAGCTCTCAAGATCATCTCTCGTGAGTCATGGCTCCCAAGTCTGGCCCTCCGCCGTGCTGTTGCTGCTCACACATACTTATATAAGCTCCACTGCCTCCCAACTAGCTCACCACTGCGAGCAATGATCCCTGCCGTTGCACCAGAGCTGCAAGGGCATCCTCGCACACGTCAGCAGAGCCGGATTTGCCATGAATTGCAGTTTGCCATGCCCCACAACCGTCACGCACGCAACAGCGTACAGCGATCATTTCCGTCCGCCATCGTTGAGGAGTAGAATCACCTTCCTCCAGAGCTCATCACAGCACCACCTACTCTACCTCGCCTCCAGCAGTTCAAAGAAGGCGTTCAGAAGTATATACGATCTGCTGACTGGAATTGGGCCTCTATGCACCTGTGATTTGTGTGTGTGTGTGTGTGTGTGTGTGTGTGTGCGTGCGCGTGTGTGTATAGTGTGTGTGTGTGTGTGCGTGTGTGTGTGTGTGTATAGTGTGTGTGTGTGTGTGTGTGTGTGTGTGTAGCATTATAGTAATAATGCAGATTAATGGGTGCACGCGGCTGCTTCGTGCTACCACTCAACCTATGCTGCTATGATTGCTGGTGCTTTACTGCATGCTCATGCTTTGCTGCTGGCTACAGTCACGTGCGCTGTACATCACGGTATCCATGTTGGTCACACGCCTTGGTGCATGCTCACATGGTACTCTATGCGTCGTGGCATTCTATGTGTCATACAACGTGTCACTCAACGCGACATTCATTCATGCGCGACGCTCAACGTGGGCGGCATGCGTTGTGGGCACTCAACGTGTCATGCTAAAATTTGGGCGTTCATGCGTGTCGCTCGCCTCCGATGTGGAAAGCGTGTGGCGGCGTTATGATGACGCTTGCTTGTAGCTCAACATGGGTGGCATGCATCGTTGCATGTCTTGCAAGAGTTTGCTGTGCTATATATTTTCGATCCGTTCTGTGCGACGATCATTCTTGCTTGCTCGTCGTGTTTTAGTTTTATATTTCGTATTTCGATCCGTTCTGTGTGTGGATCTTTTTCTTGTCAGATCATTGTGTTTCCTCATCCTTGTTGTCGTGAGCCATGGCTGGCTTCACAGTCTGTGAAATTTGCGCCATGCCGGTTCTGCGTCTCGGTAAGGAACTCTCGCTCTTGGGTTTGAATAATTCGGGCAGGAAAGCTGCCCTCGCCGATCGCCTGTTTCAGTGTTTCACAGTTTGTATTTTGCTCGTTCTCATCCTTGTGCTTTGCCTCGTTCTCATCCTTGTTGTCGTGAGCCATGGCTGCCTTCACTGTCTGTGAAATTCGCGCCATGATGGTTCTGCGTCTCCACAAGGAACTCTCGCTCTTGGGTTTGATTAATTCGGGCAGGAAAGTTGCCCTCGCCAATCGCCTGTGTCAGTGTTTCACAGTGTGTATTTTGCTCGTTCTCATCCTTGTGCTTTGCCTCGTTCTCATCCTTGTTGTCGTGAGCCATGGCTGCCTTCACTGTCTGTGAAATTCGCGCCATGACGGTTATGCGTCTCCGCAGCGAACTCTCGCTCTTCGGTTTGAATAATTCGGGCAGGAAAGCTGCCCTCGCCGACCGCCTGTTTCAGTGTACTTCACCACGCTGAATCCTGCCATTCTACCCCGAGCGGGGTGAGCGGAGCAGGCAGCAGAGAACGCGAATCATTGGCGACGTCTGCGTCATCAACGTCAGCTTTAACTCCGGAGACCTTGCGCTCCACGATTGCTTCGAAGGTTTCAGAGACGTTACCTACAAGTCTGGCGGCCGTGGATTCACAACCTCATCCGCACCAGGGCCCTCACCCAGCCAGCCTAGGGAGCAGCAAGTCTTTCGCTGTAGCTGTACACCTGGGCACTAAAGTTCGTGAGCGGGTCGTGACAGGTCAGTCCGTCGAGTTGAGTGGGCTCCTGCCCACTGTGTCTTGCTCTGTGCCGCCCGCTCGCACACAGAATGTGCTTAGATTTTAAATGTCAGTTGGGAACCCATTGCGGGTGGTGGAAGACAGCGCTACTCGCAGCAAGAGTAGGCATGTTCATAAACTTGCGACGTGGGTTGAGGCCTCCACCGTCTTGGTCCAGATCATGGTCGACATTGCTTCGCACAGGACAGTGGAGTTGCTGTCCTATCAATTCCGCATCAAGGCTGCTGCCGACCCATCACTGAAGTGGGACATCATTGAGCCAAGTCTGTGGCAGCTGATATATTTCTGACTGTCTCCAACGCTGCTGCGAGGACAGTATGACAGCTGGTCCATTTAACACACAACCGTTTAGCCCCATGCAGTCGTCTGGGCTAGGCATTGTGCTGGCCGAGAGATTACAACGCCCTGGCCCTAGCATTGCCAGAAGGAAGCTGTTTGCCAGCGATAGTCTATCTTTCTTCTTCAAAGTAAGTTCTGCAACCTCAGGCTATGCAACTCCACACCAAGTTACTAGTACTGTGTACATACTTGTAGCCTGCTTTGACCAGCAGCAGCATCCAGTTCTTCATCTGCACCCAGGCACAGCCCTGTCATCAATCCATCAAGTACTACTATTACTTGGTCTACTTGTCATTGTTAGGATAAGGAACTCCCACACACACACACACACATCCACAGTGCATCAATCAATCACTGCTAGTGCCTGTCACTTTTGAGGTGCACCACCCACGTGCTAACAGGCTGGCCTATGCCCATGCTGTTGCAGTCTCCTCCAGTTAGTACGGGGGTTAGCACTATTGCAGTTCACACTGCCATCCCAACCAGTGTGTACAACCAGCAATTGACAAGTATTCAAGTGTTCAGTCCAACAGCAGATTTGCTTGGGCCACACTTGTCCAACCATTTATGTAGTTTTCCAAAACCTCAACCTCTCTGGCCCTACGTCATTTAGTCTCTGCCACACTGACAGGCGTTGCGTCCTCAAGCACGAACTGCCTTCTAGGCCAACTCACATTCGCTACCCACCCGTACGTTATTA